CCGCCGAGCGAGCCCGCGGGGGCTTAAGCCATGCAAAGGCGGGGGGGAGGAGGAGGGTGCAGGTCGTGCTCCCCCACCAAAGGAGGGCCGGCCCCTGCTCCGCTCACCTTGCAAGGCGGGGATGGCTTTCCAGACGGACACGGGCCCCTGGCTGGCAAACTGCCCCAGGGAGACTTCCAGGAAGAAAATGGGGATCCAGGCCAGAGCCAGCATCATCAAATAGGGGATGAGGAACGCACCTGCGGGGGGAGGAGGGGGGGAAGAGAGAACGGCCTGAACGAGGGCGCGGAGGGGCCGCGCAGCCCGGGACTCCTCCCCAGCACCCCGGGAAGGGGCTCGCTCTCCCCCTGCCCACCGGCGCCCGCTCCCGCCCGGCTCCCGGGAGAGCTTCCTCCAGGCCCGCAGAGGGGCCGGGCCCGTTCGTTACCGGCTCCCCGTGCCCCCGGCCTCGACGGCGGGGAGCAGCTTTCTGCACCCCCAGCGTTTGCTCGAGGCGGTATCAGTCTTAAACGAATATTTTAACATATCGCACTTACCAGTTCTTACGTGCAAAAAGAAAAAAAAAACACCTCACTTTTTTTCTTTTTAAAGGCTGATTTTGGCCTCAAATAGTTATTTCTCACACACAAACCAGCTCTCGCAGCCCCTACTCAGCTGTTCCCAATGCTCACAGCACAAACATCCCCTGCTGATCGCCCTGCAGCTGCGGGAGGATGCAGCAGGAGCACCCACCCGTTCCCAGTTTAAGTAACAGCCTCTGTTGGGAGAATCTTCCCAAATAAACTTATTTTTCCCCCCTTGTAAACCATTAAGGGCGCAACCCCTCTTCCAACTTTTCTTCTCCTCTGTTCCGTTGAGCAGCATTCGCACTATATAACATATTTAATAAATATACTCGCGATTATTTTTCAATCGGGTTATTAAGAGATTTAAAAGAAATCCCCCAAACTTCACGGAACGACATAACGTCTCGACTCGTCACTCCTGTGACTTCCCCGACTCCCAGCTCCTTTGTACCGCCCCCTACCTCCCCCCCCTCCGCTCCCCC